TGACGAGCCTGGTCTTTTGGCAAAGCAGGGCAGTGACCGACGACGTGTCCCGCCTTTCCGCAGTACATGCAGAGCCCGAGGTGAAGGCGACGCTGGCGTTCTTGTTGGCTGAGTCTCATCCTTCCCAGCTGCATAGGTTCCTCAGAACTTGGTACCAGAGAATGAGTTGGAGCAGCTGGTGATGATTCGGTAGGCAGGTGAACGGCAGGTGCTGGCTGACGAGGTTGATGGGAGTAGAGAGTGGGAGGGGGAATGCTCTTCCTAACTGCTCTCTCCCTACGTCTTTCAGCTAGACGATTGTCTAAACATATGGCTAGGTAAATTAATTCCTCCAAAGTAGCAGTCTCATCACGAGCTGCTAGCTGGTCCTTTAGTTCCTCACTTGAACCCCTAAAAAACACTCCCTGCAACGCTTTCTCATCCCACCCAGTCTCTGCAGCAAAAATGCGGAAATCAATAGAATATGAGGAAACAGAACCACTACCCTGGCGTAGGGAAAGCAGCCGGCTACTGGCCTCCTTTGTTTGTAATGGGTGGTCAAACACTCTTCTCATCTCAGCAGTAAATGTATCCATAGTATTACAGACAGGGGAGCTACTGTTCACTAAAGCTACGGCCCATGCGGAAGCTTTACCAGAGAGTAAACTCATCATAAAGGCAACCCTAGCGCTATCAGTGGAGTAAGTGAGGGGTTGTTGGTCAAAGACTAGCTTACACTGGTGTAGAAACTGTCCACATAACCCTAATTCACATGAATACCTGGCAGGAGTGGGAATGAAGGGTTCGCGAGGTAGGGCATGTTGATGGTCCGGAGGAGCAGAAGCAGCAACAGGAGCAGGTGGAGCCTGAGCGAGCGGAGGATTGGCTGCCAGGTGAATAGCGAGTTGGTCAAAACGAGCGGTTAACTCAGAAAAATTTGAGTTAAGTTGGCGGAGAGAGTCCAAGATTTCCCTTATAGTCCTCTCATGCTGGCCAACGCGGGATCCTTGTAGGGCAAGAGCCTGCTTAAATCCTTCAATCTCTGCGGGGTCCATGTTGGTCAGATTATTCTGTTACGATTGCAGAGTAGGAACCCCAAAGCGGAGACGAAAGCAGGGAAGGTTAAACAGTTTATTTTAAACAAAAACTCAAGAGGCTGAGGCGACGGGGGCAGGCTGGCAGCAGGACGGAGCAGAAAAAATCCAGAGCACAGCGGTGGCAACCTTGGGCACAGGAGGAGAAAAGGTAAGTATCTCCAAACTGATAGCAGGAATCAAAACACAGGTCTGACGTCTACCGGATGAGACGGAATAATCTGACAGTGTGGAGAGGACCGAGCAGAGACTTAGTAGACTGGCTCCTCGTCAAGTCCAGGTGTGCCTAATTGCTGCCAGTGCCAGCCACGCCCCCGTCAACCACCAGCTCTGCACAGAGGAAAAAAAACACAAAGAGGAGGGGAACAAAACATAAACCCTAACAAAAACACTTAGACACAATGTCGTCTTTATCAACATGGTGGAAATGTGGACTTAGTGTTCACATTGTATTGCAGATATTGTGTTAAGCAAATAGGAGGTCACCGTCTCATTACGAGGCGAGATTAGTCTGAAAACAAAGTGTACAGTTATGATTGGTATCTATACATATCCATTATCTACACAAAACGTGTAGGTAAACCAAATTCAATTTCCATGGATACATTAACAATACTTACATAACCTTTTTGAGAAAATGGATCCTTCAATGAAAAAAGTGTGATAATTCTAAGAGCATAGCTTTTTTTGTTTTCGGGAAGGCATTTGTCTAAGGAGAAAACAACACTCATGGTCAAGGGACTTCATGGTTACATAAAAAGGCTAAATTAATAGTATCTACAAGTACATATTTTCACGGGGACCTAACCAAGAGATAATCTACAGGAGAACATCTACCTAGGTCATTTATAAAAGAGATCAGTACTATTTATCTTACAATGGGGAATCAATAACAGTGCTGAGAGAAACTGAATTGTTACGTGATTATTGTGAAAGGTCTTTCAAGTGATTTTCATTTTATTTTGAGTAAATATCCTTCCACTTGTAAGAAGGAACTTTTGAGTATTAACTGAGGGATACAACATACCCATGTGTTTCACTCATGTCACTGACGAGAAGGTCGACAAGTTGTCTTCGAGAGCGGTGACTTAGTGATCTCACAGAATTATAATCTTTAAGGATCTCTCGGTCACCGGGGTTTTCCTGCAGTTCCACCATCTACAAACACGTGAAAAATGTAAAATGACAATCTACAATTGTACCAAAAATCGTATGATACAAAATGCAGCAGGACCTCTTTTGCTGTGTCCTTCTCACACATGTCCTGATTGGATCTCCTTGTGACTGCCACAGAGGATTCTCCTTTAGGAGGAGACTATGGGTTGAGGTCAATTGAAAGTGATGGTGTCCATTTCCATTTGAGAAAGATCTGTTAAAAAAATAAAACATCTAAATATGATCCATTACTTATAATACTTTGTCATTTCATGATTTTGAATGTGAAATAAATGTGAGTCTCCTGTGTCTCCTCCTGAAGCAAAACTCCTGAATTTAAAGCTCGGATACCCACATTTTTCCTCCATGCATTAACAATGCATGTTATTTGTGCACAAAAGTAAAATGTCTTTATTACCAAACCCTAGTTAACTCGTTATATTGAGAAATGTAGAGGTACCTTCAAGTGTGTTGTGACCGGGCAAAGTCACGGTCCTTTAATATATTACGTGTCATTCACACTACTGGACAGAATAAACCCGCCTTAACGAAGTGTATTTCCCCAGTTTAGCTTTAGCCAAAAAGTTACAGCAGATATAACAGCTTCAAGTTTTAGTTTCATTTTTGTCACTTTCTTTCTTGTACTGTTTTCCTGTATTATTTGAATTGCTTTTTCAGGTGGAGGTTAAGGTTGTTTTATGCAGTACTGAGTAAGTTATCACCTACAAGTGTCACTGCTTGTTGTGTCTTTTTCATAATTGTATATAGGAGTAAAACACTGTCCTGACAGAGAAGACAAATGGAGGGCGATGTACTTACCTTTCTCCTTTCCCCATCTCCTCTGCTGTACATATGTGCATTACAACATCAAACACAATCATATGTCATTTCTTTTTGTTATTGCTTTATGAACTTACACAGGAATCGAGGTGCCGGACAATCTTGGAAAGCTTAGCGCCAGCAGTCCCCCTTTTGGCCTTAAAGAGCTTGATGAACTGTGTCGTTAGGCAATCCAATGCTTCAACGAAATCATTGCCCAGTTTGGAGCTGGTGATCTGGTTAAATTCTGCCAGGACCTGCACAAAAAACCATAAAACACTTCAAGTTAAATGCATAGATGTAAAAAATGTGTACACACATGTCTCTCTGTATAAAGTGCTGGCCAGCGCGCTTTGACATTTTCCACAGGTGGGGCAGAATTGACTATTTCTTGTTGTCGGACTGCAACTGTAAGCAAAAAAAAGAATAATCAATATATATAAAACAATATCACATGATTTTTGCTCAAATGTGTTTAAAGGAGGTCTAGATTCACTCAATAACATTATTAAGCAATGGACTTAATAAACAAAACAAAAAAAAATGAACAGAAAGACAAAAGTGACAAATGAGATGAAAAAGTACAATAATAACAGTGAAAGTCTTAGCGCTCAAACAAAGACAGGAACAGTGCAAAACAAATGATATATGTTAGATATTCCACAGAACTCTAGTCCACAGTCTCCTGTACATCAGGCTCTGCCATGAGCCCAAACTGCTTTTCCTTCGGTTCTATCGAAGCAGTCTGCTCTGAGCGCCTCGTCCCTGCTCCTGCAGCTCCATGCTTCACAAAAAGTTATCACACACGGAGCAATCACAGCGGAGCTTCCTTGCGGCGGCCCGCGTAGTTAGGGCCGGGAATATGGCTCTGAACACGGCTACAGTTAGCTACTAACAGCTACATTCACCGCTGTCCTCAGTAAACTCCCGGAGGCCTGGCAGAGCCTCCGGGAGAGCGGCTCTGAACACGGCCACAGTCACTGCATTCACCGCTGAGCTGGTCGAACACACGAGTTTTATAAGATAATATAGTCGAATGTAAACTCGTTCTTAACACACTTCTTTAGCTTTATACCTTTATAACAATGAACAACGTGTCTTAACACTTACCGTACATTCAAAAGAGTCCTCTCTTCACGTTCCACGAGACTCCACCGTCGACTTCAGGCAAAGTATTTCGTTGCGTTTTGCGCATGCGCGAAATGCGCATTCAGTTTGTGAATTCCCCAAGTTTTGGTTGTGTAAAGAGAGTGATGATAACACCAACAACCGTTTGTGTATATATTAGGGCTGTCAAAATTATCGTTTTGACTCACGTTAATTACATTTTTTATTAACGCGTTATTTTTTTTAAACGCATTAACGCATGTCATGACCCGCCCATTTATCCATAAGAATATCACTCAGAATGCTGCGTGTGAGATGGCCTCCTCCGTGGCTGCTCTGGTTGTTGTTAGCGGCTGTGAGTGAGTGCAAGCTTTGCACGGGCTGCAAGCATGGATCTAGCTATTATAATAACAGCAGCAAGCGATTGCTCCGTTCACATACTCAGCGCTCTGCGCACTGTATTTTCCCTGGTTCTTGTCTGTCAGGCGCGCTCTGCGCACTGTATTCTCCCTGGTTCTTGACTGTCAGGCGTGAGTGTTGCTCGTGTGTGTCTTTGGGAACTAATTATTTTAAAATAGTCTCTTTCAATTGCAAGTTTTGTAATCTGTTTGTTTGATCAATGGATAAAAAAAAATGCAAATTAATTAAATGGCACCTTGGCCTGTCTTATACCTGTTTGCCTGCAGGACAGTTCCCTAAACTAACATATTGTCGTGCTTTACCTTCCGTTGGTGATGGTGGTGGTGGTGGTGCGTGGGTTAGGAGACACACGACAAGGAATCTTCTTATGTGAACTTTAATGAGTTCAAGTAAAAAGTACGTACAAAAACAGCTGTTAGTGATCAGTCAGGATAACACACTGTGTTGCGGCTTCTGGCTCGGGTATGGACAGCGGTTGAGCAGTGTCCATACGTGGGCCATCACCTAGCAACAGTAGTCTGACAACAAACATCTTGTGATAGTGAAACGTTATGTTGAGCTGCATACAAGGACCTGACCTAGGCTATGAAAAATTAAATTAAAATACAAAACTTTATTTATTATTACTCTATGGTTATGAACATCTTATTCAGCCTTACACTACCCCCCCTTTTAAGAGTACTGAGTCCCTTCAGTGCAGGTAACGTAGGGAAAACCTTCTAGAAATTAGGTAACTACAATAACTAAACGCAAGTAACTGAAAGAGCTTGTCCTAAGTGTAACACAACACAAATAATTTTCCTTAGATCAGTATAAACATCTAACTGTTAGCTCACAGACTTTAGCTTAATATAACTCATAACTAATATCCGAATCTCTCTGGCATATTGACAATGCGACCTCTAGATGTTTTAACAGTCTTATCTGAAGAGTTTGTATCGCCTTGTCTTCTTCCTGGTTGGCACCCTGGATCACTGGACTGGGATGCCTCGCCTGGACCCTTGGATTGGAACGCCTCACCCGGACCCTTGGCAGGACATGGATCATCTGGCAGCGGTAGCACTGGCACCAGTGGAATGTCCTCTTCATGTGACTGGATGTCTGGATCTCGGCACTGCTGCAGCAATTTGCTTCTTTGACGTGAAACCCAGACTGGTATCACTTCACTGTCATAGGGCTTGAGTCTATCATGATGCATTACTGTACTGCGCTTGGGACCTTGAATCTCGTAGAGTACAGGACCACGTCGTGCTGCAACAATCAGGGGGCCTTTCCATGGTGCTTGGAGCTTTGGGCTTAGTCCTTTCTTTTTGGTGTCATCTTTAACAAACACCAGGTCTCCAACACTGTAGGAGTGTTCTCTTGCTCGTAGGTCATGCACTTTTTTCTGTCTCTCTTGTGCAGTGCGGAGATGGTCTCTTGCTAGGCTGTGTACCTCTTTCAAACCTTCTTCCAGATTGTAGAGGAAATCTGCTTCTTTCAATGGGTCGGCATTGAGTTTTGCGCTACCAGACTGGATATCTTGCGGCTGGTGGACCTCTCTGCCAAGCATAAGTCGGTTGGGTGTGAACCCTGTCACTGCGTGCCGTGAGCTGCGGTAAGCTGCAGTAAGTAGTGGCAACTGCTCGTCCCAGTTCTTTTGGTTCCGGTTCACATAACATCGAAGCATCTGCAGCAAGGTCCTATTAAACCGTTCTACCTGTCCATTAGAGGAGGGGTGGTAGGGCGTAGTCCTGGTCTTGGTAATTTGCAGAAGTTTGCACACATTTCGAAACAACAAACTCTCGAAATTACGGCCTTGATCTGTGTGTAACTCGAGGGGGGTTCCAAACTTGGCGACAAAGTCATAGACTAGCTTTCTTGCAGTCGTTTCAGCACCTTGGTCAGGGACTGGAAAAGCTTCAACCCACCTCGTGAACTGATCGATAATTACAAGAATGTAATTATTTCCAGAGCTGGATACTGGAAATGGGCCGAGGATATCAAGGTGCACGCGGTCCATGGGTGCTCCAACTTGGTAACTTTGCAACTTTGCCCTTTTTGTTGGTCCGGCAGTTTTGCATGCACTGCAGTGTGGGCACCTCTTGACAAACAGCTGAACATCTCTTCCCATTCCATACCAGTGGTAGCTTTGCCGCACACGCTGTAGGGTTTTGGCTTCTCCCAGGTGACCAGAGTATGGAGGATTGTGGCATGACTGTAGGATTTCTTTCTGCATGGACGATGGAACTAATAGCAGCTGAGTTGGGTGCTGGTCTCCAATTCTGTCCCAGGAGTAATAGAGAACTCCTTGTCTTAATGTGACTTGGGGCCAACATAGCCAGAACTTTCTTACAGCAGGGCCCTCCAGCATTACTTCATCTTTGGTGGGGAGTGTCCCTGTTTCCTTCCATGTATGAAGAGTAGCGAGAACAGAATCTGCTTTCTGCAATGTTGCCAGCTGCTCGGGACTAAGGGACTCAAGCCAGTTGACTTCGGGGGTCTCTGGCAAAGGTGCAGATGGCTGACTCTCAACCGACTGAGTGCCATCAACATTTGCGTTGCCTTGGGGCTCAATGCACCTTACTGCTAGTGGCACAACATCATCCACATCTTCTTCGAACTTGGCCCACTGTTCATGAACTTTCCAGCAATACCTGCACCCTTTGCATGGCAGATCTGACAGATTTATCCCTGCCTGGTAACAGTCACATTTGTCCATGTTGTTTGGCAGCCTTGATAGGGCATCTGCATTAGCATGCTGCTTACCAGCCCGATGCTCAATGTGGAAGTCATATTGGCTCAACTCTTCCAGCCAACGAGCTAGCTGTCCTTCAGGGCACTTGAAACGGAAAAGCCAGGTGAGACTGCCATGGTCGGTCCGTAGTAGGAACTTCCTGCCCAGTAGATAATGGCGGAACTGGCGTGTGAAGCGAACAACAGCGAGTAATTCACGACGAGTGACGCAGTACCTTTGTTGAGCTGGGGACAGGTGGCTACTGGCATAGGTCAGAACTCTCTCTTCTCCCCACTGGATCTGCGACAGGACTGCTCCGACACTGTTGTTTGAGGCGTCTGTATCCAGAATGAACTTTCCTTCAGTACGGGGATACCCCAACACAGGTGCGGTGGTCAGCTTTTCTTTGAGCATAGTAAAAGCAGCTTGGTGCTCGTCAGTCCATTGAAACACTGTTCCCTTTTTGAGAAGATTATGGAGGGGGCTTGCCAGCTCTGCAAAACTTGGGACAAACTTGCGATAATAGTTACATAGCCCAAGGAAGGCCTGCAGCTCTTGTAGGTTGTTGGGGGGGTTCCATTGCTGTACATCTTTGACAAGAGCAGGATTTGGTCCAACTCCGTTGCCACTCACAATGTGTCCAAGGAAGAGAACTTCTTCTTGTAACAGGTGACATTTTGATGGCTTTAGTTTTAGTCCATAGCTCTGGAACCTCTGGAAAACCTGCTCAAGCCGATCCAAGCTCTGGTCCACCCCATTGCCAATGACAATGACGTCATCAAGATAGATGAGAAGGGTTTCCCACTGAAGCCCTCTGAGGACGAGCTCCATCGCTCTCTGAAACGTACTCGGGGCGTTACAGAGTCCAAATGGCATTCTGGTATATTCATAAAGGCCCCATTTGGTGATGAAAGCCGTCTTCTCACGATCCTTGCTATCCACTGCAATCTGCCAGTAACCAGACTGAAGATCGAGGGTAGAGAACATTGTAGCTCCACCAATAACATCTAGGCACTCTTCAATCTGGGGTAGTGGATAAGCGTCTTTAATGGTTAGACTGTTCAGACTGCGATAATCTACACACCACCTCACTCCCCCGTCCTTTTTGCGTACTAGGACCACTGGAGAGGCCCATTCGGATGCCGATGGTGTGATTACACCCTCTTCCAGCATGGCTTTAAGATGTGCCTCCTCTTCACCTTGAAATCCCAGAGGAGTTCTTCTCACAGGCTGGCGTACAGGCCTAGATAATCCAGTGTCGATCTTGTGCGTAACAACGGACATGTAACCAAGGTCAGAGTCATTTTTGGCAAAGACGGATTGGTATGTGAGCAGTAGCTGAATGAACCGCTGTTGTTGTTCCTCATTGAGAGCCTCACTTGTAGCAGCGACCAGGCCATGGAGGTGTTCGGGAATGTCAAAGGCTGTTGCTATTCTCCCAACCAGCAGCGATGGACCACTGTCATCTGTATAGCGAGGTACTGTACTTTGCTTTGACTGACATGGGGGTTCGGGATGAACTTCGACGAGGACTCCGAGACATGCTCCTTTTGGTAGGGCCATTCTCTTGATTGAGAAATTACACACCCTGATTGGCACCCTTTTTTCCATAGTGACAACTACACTACCAGAGGCTACATTGTCTGTAATGTTTAAAGGCTCTAGCACAGCTGTGACCCCTGGTCTTGGGTCCTCCACTTCACCCCACACAACACATTCAGAGGTGGCTGGTATAATGGTGTTTTCTGTGAGTGTCACTCTCGCCACACAATAGTCTGATCCATTATCTTGAACAATTTTTGAGGGCACAAGTTCACCTCCGATGAAAACCTTGCCACGGGTATAGATGACAACATCAACAAGCTTTCATCAGATCCAATCCGAGGAGGACAGATTCTCTTATTGGGGCTACATGTACTTCCCAGTTAATAGACTTGGGTCCAATTTGAAAAGTCACTGTGAGTCCATGTCTAGCTTTCATGCCATCTCCAACTCCTGCATTCAGTAAGTAGGTTTGGTGTAGATCTGTAGTTGCTGTGTTGCTCTTTAGGATACTTTGGTACAGCTCCTCCGATATCACAGTTGTTTGAGCTCCAGTGTCGGCTACAGCTTGCGTTGGGATGCCGTTTATTGTCAGAGGAATTTGTAAACTCTCACCTCTTTTCTTGGTGCAGCCAATCTGACGGCCTTGTAATTGGTGATCCAGGTTAGGGGTTCTATCGGACTGCAGCAAGTAGTCTTTATGCTTGTCACCATCGCTACGTGCAGCCACAGGGCTGGGCGGCCTAGCACAGTCCTTTCGGAAATGTCCTGTTTCTCCACATCTAAAGCATGGACCAGCTGCCCCACGATTTGGGCTTGGTGATTGAGAGCGACCTCTGTTGGGTTGTGCCTGATAGTTTTGTTTTCTTTCTGGTAAAGAGCTTTGGGCTGCTTTGGGTCGGTGGGGTCCGGTGTTTGTGGACTGGAGTGTCTCAACCTGCAACTGTAGGCTCCCCACTGTGTTAACAAGGGTTTTCACTTGGTCCATTAGTGCAGCAAACTGGTCAGCCGTAACATACTGGGGGGTCTGGACTCTGCGGGACATTGTAGCAGTATCCTCACATAAGTCTCCTTCATCAACCCATGAGATGCGTCTTGCTCTGTTCTTAACTTCAGTGTCACGGCCCACGGTGGCTTTGAAGTTATGTTCATGGGCCTCCACAAACTTTTGGGCCTCAACGAAGGAGCCTGGGTCACGATTCATGACTTCATAAGCCACCTTTTGGTTTCGTAATCCCTTGAGGAAAGCATCAGTTGCTAGTTGGTCTTGCAGCTGGAGATCCACCCCTGGATAAGCAAGTGTGATAAGGCGTCTCACCTCCTCTGCAAACTCAGCTGATGTCTCTCGTGCTTGCCGGAGCTCCCCTATCTTTCTTCTTATTGTGGTTGGGGGGTCTTTTTTCCCAAAACGTTGAGTGAGTTGCTCGACCAGGAGGACATAATCTTCCCTTGTACGTTCTGGTAATGAACAGACATACCGCACTGCAGCTCCTCTCAAACACTCATGTAGCCTGTCCACTCTTTCCATGGCGCTCCATCCGTATTTTCTAGGCTTGACGTTCGAACGGCATCAGAAAAGAGTCCCAATCCTCATTTCCATCAAATGTAGGTAGCTTAGGTCTCTGAGGTTCTGGTAGTGTGTTGTGATAGGTTCCAGAATTATTCATCCTCCTCACATCATGGTAGGCAAGCGAGTGTTGGGCTTCACGCTCAGAGTCTCCCTCTCTGCGTCTGCTGTCAGGTTCAGGAGTTATAGTCCGCCTTGATGGACCTGAACTCCGCGACCTTTGATTTATGACCTCCAGTTCAGCTGCAAAGGGAGTACAATCTCTTGGTCTAGCTGTCATATCAAAAGTCGTACTTTCCTCAGGTGTATGTCTTTCTCTTGTAGAATGCTTTGAGAAAAGCCCTTCACCTCCTCCAGCAGTAGTGAGTGGTGATGGGTTTTGCTGTGTAGCTGACTGTCCCGTTATGTGTGAAAGGACAGGGGCCAACATCATCTGGAGGTGTCTTGTTTGTTGATTTTGATTTTCCAACACAGTTTTGTAACCATTTGGGGGCTGTTTCTGCGTCTGGAGGGCCTGCCGTAGCGCCTTGTAATTCCTCATTCATTTCCAATTCCTATTTTATTTATTTTTTTGTTACTTCCTGTTGCGCTTTTATTTTGAAACGATGGACCGGAAGTTGCGCGGCAATGCTGTTGCAGCTTGACTGTTGTTTTCCTCCGCACGTACTTATTTCTCTTTTCACACACTGCCGCGGCGATTTGTAGCTTAGCTTTAAGTTGTTGTTTAGCTCAGGATACGCCTGGATACAGTCTTTTCGGTTGAAATCACATACGAGTACTGCAAGATCCCACTTCTGACACCAGTTGTCGTGCTTTACCTTCCGTTGGTGATGGTGGTGGTGGTGGTGCGTGGGTTAGGAGACACACGACAAGGAATCTTCTTATGTGAACTTTAATGAGTTCAAGTAAAAAGTACGTACAAAAACAGCTGTTAGTGATCAGTCAGGATAACACACTGTGTTGCGGCTTCTGGCTCGGGTATGGACAGCGGTTGAGCAGTGTCCATACGTGGGCCATCACCTAGCAACAGTAGTCTGACAACAAACATCTTGTGATAGTGAAACGTTATGTTGAGCTGCATACAAGGACCTGACCTAGGCTATGAAAAATTAAATTAAAATACAAAACTTTATTTATTATTACTCTATGGTTATGAACATCTTATTCAGCCTTACAATATCATACTAAAATAGGGTGGGGTTGTTGCAACAATTAATCTACTTAGAAGTTATCCTAAATTACAGCCAGCTAAAGCTCGGTACCACGACAAACGAAAAAGCAACGCAATAGTTACTTTTACTGCTAACTAGTTACTTTTATAGTGGAGTAACTCAGTTAGTGAGTCAATTACTTTTTGGTAGAAGTAACTAGTAACTATAACTAATTACTTTTTCAAAGTAACTTACCCAACACTGGTAATTATATTTGATAATCTCATTTAACTTCAATTGGAGTGGATTTGAAATAGAATGTTAAACATGCGACTAATCGTGAGTTAACTCACCATTACTATGCGATTAATCAACTAAAAAAAATGAATCGTTTGACAGCCCTAGTATATATATATATAATATATATATATATATATATATATATATATATATATATATATATATATATATATATATATATATATATATATATATATATATATATATATATATATATATATATATAAATATATATATATATAATTTGAACCGAGAATAGAACACATCTTTCATGTCATGAATAAAAATAAAAAATCCAAACTTTTGGTCTGTACTGTACATACATGAGATGAGCACTTAGACTTTCAACATGTCTTTTGTCCTATTAGATTTATTTAATTGATTTTGACATGACAAGCTATAATCAATCATGATCAAATATGTATGTGTGTGTGTGTGTGTGTGTGTGTGTGTGTGTGTGTGTTTGAGCATTTATTATATTATTAACGTTCAATGGAACTGATTCATGAATCAAAAGTCATGACGCCCCTCGCCCGTGAAGAAAATGCTGATGTATAAACATTACCTCGCCACACCTCTAACCCTTTTTCCGTCTTCCTCTAACTAAATGTGTCTCTTGCAGAAATAACATTTTTGAGTCCATGTCTTATAATTTAGTCATAACTGTTGAACCTTTTTGAATCCGTTGAAGACCCCTGCAGTTCCAAGTAACTATGTTTTATCTTTTCCATGTACCAATTTTTGGATGAACTAAATTCTACTGAACAAATAATAAGAACAACTAATCACAACCTGACAGATATCTTTTCTGAGCTTATATAATATACACTTGCATTTTCCTAATGACGCTTTAACATGACCCAACATTTGAACACAAGAACTAAAACCAAAACCCCTCCCCTTCCCTCAACCTCTGCAGGTCCACTCCCACCCTCCCCATGTTACGTGTCCCGTTACTCTGCGTGGGGCAGATCCACACAAAATGGGGAGCAGTATACCATTTCTTTCTCAATCTAAAAACAAACAAAAACAAAACCTCTGCCGCTCGTGCAGACCTCATGATATTGTTCATTCTTCGCCGCTAATCGGCCACGAGAGTCATTGAAACAGGCCTGAATAGTCTGTGTTGCACCAATATGAAGCAGTGACAAATATAAGGCACATTTTATAAGAGTTAGTGTTTAATAGAAACCAGGAATTGGAAACTATTTAGGAATACTCACAGCTGGGTCGGAAGGTAAATCAAAACAGACCAATGGGCTCTATGCACGCACCACTTCTGCGTTTTAGTTCCAACCCCACTTTCACTTCCTGTGCGCGGGAACGGCTTGAGTTTCACTGGAGTTCAGTGGTTTACCGACTTCCAAATAATGCTCAACAGGAATTAAACTGTAGGAATACTGGGCATTTCTGGGACACAGCAGTGCTCTCTGATTGTGCTGTCATTGTGTTTTTATAAAGTTTACTAATCTCTCTGAGTGGCCAGAGTCACAGCTCTACCTCGAGAGAGAAAGCAAACGTCCACCACTTTTGGTCAGTCTCAGCTGAATGTATCAATCTATTTACTAAAAACAGTCACTAAAAAAAAACAAAAAAAAAAACGTCACTAAAAGCCATAGATAGCATTGACAGGAAGTGAACGGGCTGATTCTTTTTAACAGGAAATGACGTTCACGCCTCCCCGTGCATGTGGCCTATTTCAATGAGTCTCTTTCAGTCAGGATGTTTTTACAAAACAGGCGCCTCCGCTGGAGATGCAACACACACACGTCTTCTCCTCGTATGTCACCGGCAGCTTCCCCGGGTGTGTTACGCCATGTCTCAATCCAAGTTTGCGTAGATCTTCCCGAACAGAGTCGTATCTTTTCCGGAGTTGTTGCAGACCCGCAGCCAGGTCTGGGTTAAAACGAGATCAATCTCTTCGTAGCGAATGTCCGACTTTGCCTTTGCAGCGTTCATGACAGCTCCCTGTCCCTGTAGTTGTGAGAAAAAAAAAGCATTTCAGAGTGCGAGGTCTCTCTCTGCGTGTTCTTTCCGTGGGCCAACTCGGTGCTATTAATAAAACATGGGGTCTTGAAGTGAAATACTCAGGATCTCAGGACTCCACCTTTCCAGAAACTTGCACGGGTCACTTTCCTCGGTACCTATCATCCAAGTGGTTCTCAAGCCTAACGTTGTTCGTCTTCACACGATTCAAGTCCATTACTTTGTCTTCCAAAGATGTTCTGCTTCGACTCCCGTGCACTAGCTTTACCCGCAAGGGTACTTATCCACTCATCATCGTCGATAGCTGTGTGTGTTTCTGCCTGTGTACTGCACGGCGGACCTTAAACCCCCCACAAAAAACCACCTTTAACCCCCCCCCCCCCACCAATATACCCCCCCCCCAATATATATATAAAAAAAACCCCCCCCCCCCCCCCCCCCCCCCTATATATTATTTTCTTCCCCCTTTTCACCCCCTTTTAACATCCTGTCGAAGATGATCCAAATCACTTTTTATGGCAGTACTATGGTAGTATATTCATCCACTTTACTGCTCTGGGTTCGGTCTTCGCTCGCATCCCTCGTCGCCATTCCGGGTGGGGAGTTGCTACCGCGTAGCATTAGCTTCTGTGCCTCGCTGCAGATGGCCATACTCGTTAGTTTATGCTGTTTAATCTTCTCGGTGGCCATCTTGGCTTTACTTTGCTTCCCTTTGTGGAGATGTTGTTCCAGCCAATAAAGGATAAATAAGGAATCAAAATTGGTTAATAATTTGAGCACGGGCAGCGGAGCGGGTCTAAAGCCTGTCTTCCCTACATGGCGCCATAACCGGATCAGTGGTGACAGATGTTTTAATGAGATTTAATGTGTTTCCAGACTGGAGATTCTGGAGGTTCAGAGGTTAACTCCAGGATCAGAACAAAAAAAAAAAAAAAAAAGTGAAGTGTTGAAGTGACTTCATTAAAAGCTTCTCCTGGATCAGTCACTGCATTATGGAGCTGAGTTGGGGAAAATGGCAATGGACAAAGTTGGAATGAGTTCCTTTGGGTAAACACTGTCACCGAAACATATTTGTTAGAATCCAGCGTGTACCACAAGTTTAAGAAGAAACTGGACAGAAACGTGTGTGCTCTGAACCAGTTTAAATAATAATGAAGTCAAAACAAAGTCGCGGTGACAAGGATAAAGCTGGAACTCACAAGGTCATGCAAAGTCCAACCTGCTGGCTGG